TGAAATGAAAGAAAATATTGACTTTAAACAAGAAAGGGCTGTGAGTAACAGGACCCTTCACGTGGCCTGGACCCTAGAAGGCCCACAGGGCAGTGCGTCCCTGCCCTGCCCCAGTCTCGGAGCCAGCATGGCCCTAGGGCGTCATGTGCTGCTCCCTCGGTGTTGTCACAGCGGCCCACAGGCGTCCTCTCTCCCTTTCGTGCAAGACGGCAAGACACACAAAAATAGGCGCCCTCCTCGAGGCCTGCACACGGCTCCAGGCAGCACGCCAGGACTCCCCCAGGCCCAGGCCCCCATGCCCTGCACAGCCCGCTCCCTGCAGCCCAGGCTCCATGGAGGAGGACCTCTGTTCCGCCGTGGCTCGGTCGGCAGGAAGCAAGGCCAGCTGTCACCGAGCACGGAGAAGGCCTCGCAGCCCGTTCACCTGCTTCCTTTGGTCAGGAAGCAGCGAGAAACAGCCGTGCTTTCCAAGGCCGTGAGACTACGGTGATTAAGGGCCACCGAGGGCATCTTCCAGAGGCTCTGAGGAATGTTGCTGAGGGGCTCATGCAGACACACTGCCCAGAGAGGGCCACCCCGTCCTGGTATGAGCAGCTGCCCTGAGCGTAGCCCCTGAGGAGACAGGGCCACCCAGGGGCAGGGAAGACGCCGGGCATAGAGCCCCCAGGCCGTGGGAGCTGATGCTAGACTGGGAAGGGCTCTCGGCTGCTGTCCCGAGTGGAGCCTCAGACCCGGGACCAGGCGGGCAAGTGGGACACTGCTCTTCTCCAGCCACTCTGCCAGCCCTAGGGCCCCTACAAGCTCAGGAGGTTCTGTGTCGTCCATGGTCTGGGCAGTCTGGCCATCGCTCTGGAAAGTGGATCCTGCAGCTATCCATCCTGGTCTTCTGTTAATCTTGGTGTAGACACGAACACCAGTCTGGTACTTTCAGGGAGCAGTGGCCACACCCAGTGCCCCTGGCCCTCTGCCTGCCGGTCTCCCCATACCCTGCTCCCCTGTGTGGGCTCCGGGGGCGAAGCCCAGAAGAGACAGCGTCACACAGCGAGTCTGATTTCCTTGTTCCCTGCTGAGTCACAAGTGGTGTCACATCAAAGTCCGAATCTGCAGGAAAGGCGACTGTCACAGATGGTGGGGACAGCTGGCACATGTGGCCATGTGGGGCCCACTCCTGGGGATTCTCAGCCCCATCAGGACCCTTCTTGTGACTCTTGAGGAGCTCAGAGCAGGGCCCGCTGGTGGGGACAGGCAGGAAGACCTCAGAGCAGGGCCCGCGGGTAGGGACAGGCAGGAAGACCTCAGAGCAGGGCCCGCGGGTTGGGATAGCAAGAGGAGCTTAGCAAGTCCAGTGCACCAAGACCCTCAATGAATATGGAGGGAGGGCAGATACCTGGCACCACGCAGCCCCTGGTCGTGGAGGGGTGCGGGTACCAGGCACCACGCACCCACTGGTCTCCTGGAGATCGAGAACATTGGATCAGGTGCTGCTCTGAGGGTTGGGTATACTCTCGGGTCAGCTGAGACATTTCTTTGAGGTGAGAACTCTGCCCTTTCTAACCCGGTTTTCCTCTCAGGAAGATCCACCTCACATGATGGAGTTGGTGTGTGATCTTCATTTACCAACTGGAATCACTGACTCTCAGCCCTTTACCAGAATAACAAAACGGGAACTTCCCACACTTCTGACTCTTGAATACCAGCTTTCAGAAAACCGAGCTAGCTCAAAGATCCAAAAGTATGCAAGTGGTGGCTAGTCACTACTAAAACTTCTCCCATTTCTCTTTTTAGGAGTTTCATTTAATAGTGTTTACACTCAAATCTGGAGAGTATTATTGCATCTGGCTGCTGATCCCTACCCAGATGTGTCTGATTTGGCCATGAAAGTACTCAATAGCATCGCCTACAAGGTACGTGTGACTGAAGCACTCGCATTTCTGATTCTGTTATGAATATTCAAACAACCCCAGGCATATTCAGAGCTACAGTAGGGTTCAGAAAACAAATGAAGTGAAATGGACTTTCAACAAACATTTTGAGCTTTGTAATCTACCTTGAACTAGCAATGTATTTAGCCGTAGCCCCAGTTGGTACACATCTAACTGTATTTCCTGACCCGTGTCAAGGTGATCGGGTATGCATGGCCACCATTTTCACGTCCTAATAGCCGTAGGATCTGTAGTGATGTCCCACCTTCCTGGCCTGAGACCACTTACGGCTTCTATTGCTCATTATCATCTCCAGCGAAAGGAAGCTTTGCAAAGAACCAGCTTTTGATTTCACTGGGTTTTCTCTGTTGTTTACCTGTTTTCCATTTTCTAGATAGCTGCTTTTATCTTCCTTTCTTCTTTTGCATTTAATTTGCTCATTATTCTGATTTAGTAAGTGAAGTTTAAGTCATTGTTCTTAGTCTTCCCTTCTCTGGGGACTGTACACTTTGCAGCTCTTTCTGTGAGCTCTGAGGTCTGCCACCCAACTTCCACTTGTCCTGTTCCTAGACTCAGGTTTTTCACCCCACCTGTGAGCAGAAAGGGACTCAGCATGGACTCGAGGGGCCTCCCCTTCAGACCATGGAAGCCTTGTCCTCTCCAGTCCTGTGCTGCCCAGATCCCAGCCCCCTCTGTCTCCCTGGAGCTCCGACCTCTGTCTCCTTCACTCTGAGTCTGGGCTCTACCTGGGTGTCCCTTCTCTGGGCCGCAGCCAGCCCTGCCTGGAACTGCTCTCAGGCTGTAAGCTCGGGCAGCGCTCACTTTGCTCCTCAGCATACCAGGCCCATGGTGCCCAACGTCCGCTGTCTGAAAACAGTTGTCTCTTCTTCCTCTGGTTTTATAGTGACTTGTGTAAGCTGGATGATTTACATGGCAATTCATCATTTCTTAGAGTGTTTTAAACCTTTTTTGTGAATTTTTTATAAAATTTACAGCTCACGGAGGAGTTGCTGGGAAAGCTCATTCCTTTTTACTATTGACCTGGTGCTCTCTTGGTCTTCATCTGACCCCAGCCACAACTGAAGCATTCTCCCCAGGTCGTCACTTACTCGGTCACAGGGCCTAAGCTGTGGCTTTCAGTCCTAATCTGTTTTTTCAAGTGAATGATCAACCCTGCCTCAGTGCAGTTCTCTCATTTGCTGTGGTCTTCCTGGTCCTGCCTCCCATCAAACTAGAAGCTCCTGCAGCTCCCCACTTCTTTTTGTGGGTGCCATGTTTGCATGGTGTTCACGCCCTTTTATGCTCTGTTTGGTCCTGTTTTTCCTGACTGTCTGCAGATGCTGCTGCTTCACTCCTGGTCGAGTCACAAGTAACAGTAACAGCCTCATTGTGCCCCCAACTGAAAGCACTGTAGTGACCTACCTCCTCTCTTAAAGTAGCAGTAAAGCTAACGCAGAAGTAAATTCTGGGTTTGCTGTAAACCCAGTGGGTCACGTGCTGCCCTGGAAGCACAGACCTGTGGGCCTGCCCTTGCTCTTCCCACCCCATAGCACTGCCGTCGGCCAGCTCAGAACAACCCAGACTCTTGAACTGACTCCCCCTCCACCGCGACTGCTCAGCACACCTCCTTCGACCTCACACTGGGCAGTCTTCACCCTCAGGGGACAGGCGGTCTGCTCAGGTGTCTTCTGAAAATAGCCAGGACATTACATTGTTCTTGTTACATAGTGTAAAACTAAGAATAATCCAATCACCTGCTTTTTCCAGTTTGAATGGGATTGATTCAAAACTAAAATGTTTAAAAATATTTTTCGTTACACGTTATGGACTGAGATTGAGGGAGAGAGGAATAGGAAGGAAGGAAAGCAGGGGTGTGGAGGCCAGGCGCAGACCCTCACGAGACCGCAGACGAGCCCTGCGTAGCTCTCAGGCCCCGAGGCAGGGTCTGGCAGCTCAGATGTGTCTGTGGTTCTGGTCAGTTGCAGCTAAAATAGCTGCAGCCTCCGCCCTGCGCTAGGGAAACTGGCTCTCACGTCCCCTGCCCTTCCAAGCAGAGCAGCCCTCCTGCGTCTAGCTTATGCTTTCATGACTGGGTTTTAAAAAGTTGTTTTCACGTTTCGTTTCGTTTTGTTTTTGAGAGGTTTCTGCTATAGAGCACATGCACTCAATGGACAGAGACAGAGATAGAAAGCGAGAAATCACCCCCCGGGAGAGGGCCACGCCACGGTCCCTTCTCCTTCATTCTCCTCTCGGGATCTTGGGCACGCACGCACATGCCTGGTGCAAGTTTCAAGCTACTGGGTCCGAGACTTGAACCGTAGTCGGCCATGGAGCCCAGTGACATAGCCATTTTACCATCTGCTGGTCCTAATTTTGAAAGCTTTATATGGACATTAGTGAATAGTGTGCATTTTCAGAATCTGTGTTAAAGACACAGAGGCCTGCACCCGACGCTTGTGACCCACAGAAGTACCCGTGTCCTCTTCCCTTCTGGGGCTCCAGGGCCTCCTGGGCCCGGCCACCCTGCACTGCCTGGTGGCACAGCTGGGGGCCAGCACTACTCAGTGGTCCGCCATTTCCCCCAGTTCGTTTTGCTTCTTGGGTATTTTGGTCGTGATGAAATCAGCATTTGGCCTATTTTGACTATTTTTCAGTGGCTTTTTTTAAAGAATTATTTTATTTAACTTTATTTATTTGTTTGTTTGTTTGTTTGTTTTAATTTGACCAGAGAGGGACAGAGTGAGAGAGAGAGAGGAAAAAAAAGTGAGAAAGCAAGCCATCAGGTCTGGGGCTCAAGCTGCGGTTGGCCATGTGGGAGTCCAGTGCCCTTAACCTCCACGCCACCTGCCGACCCCTCAGTGGCTCTTACTTACCTAACCTTACTCAGGGTCAACCTGAGTTAGTTTTAAGTGTCATCCCAATGCCTAGTTGGAGATTCCGGGGCTGTAGGTTCATTAAGAGCCTGAGCTCAGGCTGTCCCACGTTCCTCTCAGCAGCGACGAGCGTGTAGAGCACAGGCAGCGTTTTCCGTGCTCCGCATGTCAGGTGCTGGTCTTAGCCCAGGATCCTGGGCTGGCGTGCACCGCGTGTAGCCATGAGCCAGAGGCCCACCCGTCCCGCCACAGGGAGTGAAGCATCTATGGGTCCTTTCTCTTACTGTGCCCCTGGGACAGGGCTCCCTGACTACAGCCCAGGAACCCCAGAGAAGCAGCGTTGGCCTCTGTGCCTGCTTGACCGTCTAGCATGACACACATGTGCCTGTGTACACGGGGCTGTCACACCCACCGCAGACAAGGGACCAAGCTGTGACAGCAGCGCAGCTGGTGTCTGTGTGCGTCAGTCTCAGTGCACCGTGGTCACGCCACAACCCCTTCTCCGAACCTCATCCTGTCAGGGTTAAGGGCACACACACACATTCGCCAGCATGCTTTCTAAGCCACTGAGGCCAAGGTTCAAACCGTAGTCACCCTGTGGGATCCAGCTCCTGGAACCTCTGCATCATGGAGCCTGTGTGCTCATTTTTTTGTCTTCTGGGTTTTTTGTTTTGTTCTGTTTTTTTGTTTTTTTTGTTTTGTTTTGTTTTTTGAGAAAGAGAGATTGCTGTAGGGTGCATGCGCTCATCAGAGAGACGGAGACAGAAAGCAAGAAATCACCCCCCAGGGGGATGGCCACACCACAACCCCTTCTCCTCCATTCTCCTCTCAGGATCTTGGGCACGCACGCACAAACACCTGCCATGAGTTCTAGGCCACCAGATACAGGACTCAAACCATGGGTCCAGCGACATAGCCATTCCACCATCTGCTGGTCCCTGTTTTAATGTAGAAGTACACATTGTGGGGTCCGGCAGGTGGTGTGTTGGCTAAGGGCACTAGAATTCCACATGGCCATTTGTGGTTCCAGGCCTGGCAGCTCACTCACTCTCTCTCTCTTTTCCTTCTCTGGTCAAATTAAAATAAATAAGTTATGTAAAAATACTTGAAAAGAAAAGAAAAGAAAACATTGTGGGCCATGGTGGCATGGTGATTAAGGTGCTGGATCCCACATGGCCAACTTCACTGTTAAAATCCTGAACCACGAGGCGTAAAAAACTCACTTCTCCACGGAGGCCTACCTGCTGCCTCGTGCTCCTCCACGGAGGCCCACGTGCCACCGCCATGTCTCTAGTGATCCCTGCAAAGTTCCAGCACATTCCGAGAGTTCTGAACACCGACATCAGTGGGCAGTGGAAAATAGCTTTTGCTGTCATGGCCACTAGGGTGAGAGGCCAAGGTCTGCACGTGTGTGCTGAGGACAGCAGATGGTGACCTCACCAAGAGCTCAGGAGAAGCCCACTGAGGGCGAGGGGCGGCGCGGTCACTTTTGGGCAGGGTCCATGCCAGCACAGTCCTCAGACTGGTCCCTGGACAGACAGAAAGGTGGCAGGGATGGACAATCAGCAGGTCCTGGCCGGCGGTCTGGATGACATGCTGCAAGAAGACCTAGATGGCACAGATCTGGGCCCTGAGGGCTGCGCCCCTTCCGGGGCCTCCGGGTCCAAGGCTGGACACCGAGACAGCTGGCTGTCATGGCTGCCCCGTGGGCTGTCCAGGAAATAAGTCTGTAGCCTTGTCTGTTAATAAGCAGTTCATATACCTAAGAAAGAGAAAGTGTCTGTTGTGTAGGCCCAAAGCCCCCAGAGAAGAGTGGAGGAGAGGGACTGAGCAGGCCATGCCCGTGGGCGGCGAGTCCGGCTTCCCTCTGTCTCTCTCCAGCGAGCACATGTGTCCTTTAGCAAATATCTACCCTCGAGGAGTGAGCCCTGTGACTGGCTTAGCACAGCATTGCGCTCCCGCAGAGGCCCCGGATCCCGCGTGGCTGCTCACGGTTCAGCTCTCAGCCCCCGGGGTAAAGGAACCCTTGCGTGTGCACGTGTGCCCAGGGTCCTGACGAGGTGAGGAAATGGAGGGGACGGTCACAGCCAGGCGGGCTGCACCAGTGGGCGCTTCCTCTGTCTCAGTCGCCTCTGGCGTAGAAGAAGGTGAGTGGACCCTGCTGCTGGCTTGGCGGCGCAGCCGTGGGGGAGACCCTTTCTGTTCTTACTCTGATGTCACGGAGCGCCTGGCTTTTTGCCCGGAAGCTGAGAAGGTTACTTTGATTTTACAGAGAAACGAGCCTTTTATTTTTTTTAGAGAGGTTTTTGCTATAGGGCACATGCACTTGCCAGAAAGAAAGAGACAGCGAAAATCACCCCCAGGGGGGATGGCCATGCCACAATCCCTTCCCCATTCTCCTCTCAGGATCTTGGGCGGGCACGCACATGCACCTGGCGTAAGTTTAAGCCACCCGGTCCAGGACTTGAACCGCGGCCGACTACGTGGGAGTGCAGCAACATAGCCATTACACCAACTGCTGGTCCCAGAAATGGAACTGTTTTTGATGTGTAACTCTGAGCGGCTTTTTGCCCACCCTGTCAGAACAGCCAGCTGCTGTGGGCTACCCCTGTGGTGCTCTGTGTCCGTCAGCAGTGGGCTCCGGCTCCGGGCCATGTATGTGAGCCCCAGCTGGGTCTGCGGGGCTCCCAGTTTCCCTGTGGCACAGGACAGCCCGCCCACGGTGGACGCGCTGTGAGCCCGGGTCCCATCCTTGGCCCTGGCTGCTCTGCCTCGGACACGCCCAGCACCGTGCGTTAAGGTGCCGCCGAGCCACGTGTCCAAACGCCAGGGTCCAGGCATCCCAGGCGCTTCTTTGTCTTTATAAGAGATGTCACAAATGTATGTCTCGACACTCACCTCGCCATTGTGCCGTGGATTCTTGGCTGCTGCATCACCGTAGGAATTGTGCGAGCAGACTGGTCGTCGGTCACTGACACGGAGGGCCTCCTTGCCCGTAGAGTAAATGAGGCCAAGAGCTGCTCACCTGAGCATTCAGCTCACTCCCCCAGCGTGGGCTCCCTGCACCTGTTGCTCTGACGATCACATCGCCAGGGTCTCTGAACAGCGTGGTGCCGGTCATGCTCATCTCTGCCCTGTGTCCCGTCCTGCTCCCGAACTTAGGATTTCTCAGCTCAGCCAGCATATGGTCCGCCCCTGGCCAGAGCAGAGCCGCACAGCCGAGGTGGGAGTCTCCGCAGGTACCTTGGACACCTGGCTTCCAGCCCTCGCAGCCCGGGGTGTGGCACGGTCCCGGCTGGCTAACCGCATAGTAGTTGCCCCTCACAGGGCTTTGCACTGCACCGTCCCCCTAGGGCCACTCTGTAGCCTCTGTCGGCTCCATCCCCATTGGCTCTCTGGCCTCGGCCAGTTCATGCACCACCTCAAGGAGGCACGGCCCCAGGAGCCTCAGCAAAGGGCCCCGCCCTATCTGACTTCAGGGGTGGCAGTGGCCCAGAGGTGCCGACCGCCCTCCCACCCAAGGCCTGCGCATGCTCCGTGCCCTCCGGGAGCAAGCACTGTACTCCTAGAGGGGCTGCTCGGACCAGTCAGGAGACCCATCCCCGGGCACCCAGAATTCCAGCAGTGCTGAAGAAAACCATTTGGCAGTGCCCTGCCGGAACTGGGAAGGCCTTCAGCACCTGCTCTCGCATGGCTGCAGACCCGGCAGAGGTGAGGAGGGCACGGACTTGGAGTAGCACAGCCTGGCAGGACTAGGGGAACAGGCTCACAGCTGTGGTGCACACACTGGCCCCTGGCTGCACTGGGCCGGACGCAGGGGCACCCTTGGAAAGCCTGTCCAGACGAAGATGCCCAGTGCCCTGCCTGGGGACTGCAGCGCCCCACTGCCCTGGCAAACACCGCATTTCCCTGTGGGCTGGCACGGTTGGGCTGAACGTGAGTCCCATT